CTAATAAACCCTTTCCTCCCCAAGTTGCTCTGGTGATGGTGATTCACCATAGTCCTTTTCTATTCCACTGCATTACATTTTTGCCAGAGATCACTAATAGGCTTTTATGCTTACAGATAGCCTCATCTTCATTTATGCTTACAGATAGCCTCATCTCTCAATAGAAATTTTGCTTTCATGTAAACAAGTTCTACAAAATGAAAAACAAACATGGAGGCTTGTCCTAGTCTGCTTTTCTGTTACTGTGACAAAGGTCGTGTAAGTGACAGTCATCACTGAGGGAAGCCGGGACAAGAACCTCAGGCAGAAGCCTGAAGCAGAAGCCAACAGAGGAGTGCTGCTTACTGGCATGTTTCTCAAAGTTGCTTAGGTATCTTTTTTAAAGCCCATGCTCTCCTGTCCAGGGATGGTACCAACCAAAGCATGCTGGCCTCTTACATCAATTCGAAACTCTGCAAATGTTCCATAGGCTGATCAGATGGAGGAAATCCTCAACTGAGAGGTCCTCTTTCCAGCAAAGTTGAAATTTGTGTCTAATTAACAAGAATTAGCCATCACAGATTCAGATTCCTAGTTTTAATTAAGATGTTGCTGCTTTTGTTTAAGCAAATTTTTAATGAGAAAAGCAATTTGGAGATCCGTTTCTTAAATATGATCAGATATACAAACCATAAGACGAAGGATTACATTTTCCATGAAGAGGTGAAATCAGAAACAAGATGTTGGGCATTGTGATACACACCTATAATACCAGTGCTTGGGAGCCAAAGGCAGAAGGATCAGGAGCTTGAAGCAAGCTTCATTTACCCAGGAAGTTCAAGACTAGCTTGGGCTGCTTGAATTTTGGTCTTAACAAACCAAGGGGAAGGGGAGGGAGAGGCACAATGAAACTCATTATAGTCCCCAACTCAGTATATAAATGTATGGAATTTTCAAAGACTCAATCAGTCAATCAATCAATCAGTAAGGGAGCTCCAGCAGGCATTCCCTGGGAATGCAGTAGCCACCCAAGCCAGGGAAGCAGGTGGGTTAACTGCTGATCTTCACCTCTCCCTTCTCTCCTCCAAACCCATTCCCCCAGTCTCATCCCCAGCTCTGTAGAGACTACCTGCTCTGCCCTCCCCGTCCCCATCTCCAGTGGATCACACAGATCTCCCTTCCAAACTTCTTTCCTCTCCACTCATTGCTTTATCCCAGTTCCCAGCTCCAGCAGGCATTCCATGGGAACCTACTAGTCAAGCCTTCCAAAGAAACAAGTAGGAAGCTAAGTAGGTGGACCAGATTTAGATCTCCACTCTCCTTCCTGTCCTCCAAAAGAACCTAAGAGGCCAACAGAAACCAAGGACCAAAACATCCACACAACAAAGACAAGGTCAGATATCAGCACCTAGAATTACAACCTTCCCAGGCCCAGATGGCTAGATGCCAGTGTAAAAGCATAATCAATAACATCCAGAACAATATGTCTCCATGAGAGCCCAGCAACCCTACCACAGCAAGCATTGAGAATAGCAACGTAGCTGAAGCACACGCCAAAGACTTTAAAATATTATTTATGATAGAGGTCCTAAAAAAGGAAGTGAATAAATCCCTTAAAGAAATCTATGAAAATACAAGCAAACAGTGGTAGGAAAGGAAGTCCTGAAAGTAGAAATAGCAAAATAAAGAAAACCCAAAGTGAGGGATATGTGGGAAAGTGTGGAAATAAAACATTTAGGGACTCTAGCAGAAACCTCGGAGACAAGCCTCACCAACAGAACACTAGAGAGGGAAGAGACAATCTCAGGCATTGAAGACATGGATACCTGGGTCAAAGAAAATCTTAAATCTAAAAAACTTCTGGCACAAAACATGCAGGAAATCTAGGACTCTGTGAAAAGACCAAACATAAGCAATACAAGGAATACAGGAAGGAGAAGAAACCCAGGCCAATAGCACAGAAAATATTTTCAATAAAAATCATAGAAGAAAAATTTCCTAACCTAAAGAAACACATGCCTATCAAGGTAGAAGAAGCATACAGAACACTAAATAGACTGCATAAGAAAAGAAAGTTCCCTTGGCACATAATAATCAAAACATTAATATAAAAAGCTGAAAAGGAAAAAGACCAAGTATCACATAAAATCAGGCCTATTAGAATAACTCCTAGATGGGCAGGGGTGGCGCATACCTTTAATCCCAACACTTGGGAGGCAGAGGCAGGTGAATCTCTGTGAGTTTGAGGCCAGTCTGGTCTACAAAGTGAGTTCCAGGAAAGGGTCCAAAGCCACACAGAGAAACCCTGTCTTGAAAAACAAAATCAAGCAAACAAATGAAAGACTAATTTCTGACTTCTCTATGGAGACTCTAAAAGCCAAAAGGGCCTGCACAGGCGCTTGACTCTAAGAGACCACAGACGCCAGCCCAGACTACTAAACCCAGCAAAACTTTCAGTCACAATAGATGGAGAAAGTAAGACATTCTATGATAAAACCAAATTTAAGCAATATTTGTCTACAAATCCAGCCATAAAGAAGGCACTAGAAAGAAAATTTCAACCTAAAGAGGTTAACCACGCCCAAGAAAACACAAGGAATAATTTCAGACCAGCAAACCAACACACACACACACACACACACACACACACACAACCACAACAACAAAATAACAGAAATCAGCAAACATCACTCAGTGACACCACTCAACACCAATAGCCTCAATTCCCCAATAAGAAGACACAGAATAACAGAATGAATTAAGAAACAGGATCCACCCTTCTGCTGCACACAAGAAATACACCTTTGTAAACAGACGTTTCCTGTCCTGACCACCCAGTCCCCAATAATCACTCAGAAACTTATATTGATTATAAATGCTCGGCCAATAACTCAGGTTTGTTACTAGCTAACTCTTACATTTAAATTAACCCATTTCTATTAATCTATGTATTGCCATGTGTTTCATGGTTTTACCTGTCCTCTAGCGTGTCTTGCTTCCTCAATGTCTGGCTGGTTTCTCTCTATTCCTCCCTCCTTCCCATCATTTTTAGTTTGTCTTTTCCACCTAACTTCCTGTCCAGCTATGGGCCTGGCAGCTTTTATTAATCAATGAGAGTAATACATATTCATAGTATAGAAAAGGATTGTTCCACAGCACACCTTAACATCAAGGATAGATACCACTTCAGGGTAAAAGGTCGGAAAAGGATAGTCCAAGCAAATGGACCTAAAAACCAAGCTGGTGTAACCATTTTAATATCTAATAAAGTAGACTTCAGACCAAAGCTAGTAAAAAGAGATAGGAAAGGACACTATATACTCATCAAAGCAAAGATTCGCCAAAAGGACATGACAATTCCTAACATCTATGCACCAAACACAAAGGCATCCGAGTTCATAAAAAAAAAAGTACAACAATTTAAATCACACATTGACTCTCACACACCAATACTAGCAGATTTCAATACCCCACTCTGGTCAATAGGTCATCTAGACAAAAAGTAAACAGAGAAATGCTGGAGCTGACTGATGTTATCATCCCTAGAGACCTAACAGATATTTACAGAACATTTCACTCAAACACAAAAGAATAGACCTTTTTCTTAGACCTCATGGAACTTTCTCCAAAATTGACCACATATTCAGACACAAAGCAAGTCTCAACAGATATAAGAAAATTAAATGACTCCCTGCATTCTATCAGATCACCACAGATTGAAGTTGTATGTAAACAACAGTAACAACAGAAAGCTTACATATTCATGGAAACGGAACAACCCACAACTGAATAAAAATGGGCAAAGACAGAAATTAAGAAAGAAATGAAAGACTTTCGACAGTTGAATGAAAATCAATACCCAATATCCCCAAACTTACAGACACAATGAAGATGGGCTTAAGGGGCCAACTCATAACACTAAGTGCCTACATAAAAAAAAAGGGGGGCGGGAGATCTCATTCTTGTAACTTAACAGTACACCTGAAAGCGCTAGAACAAGAAAGAAAGGAAGGAAGGAAGGAAAGAAAGAAATCACACCCAAAAGGGGCAGATGGCGAAAAGTAATCAAACTCAGAAATCAATAAAACAGAAACAAACAAAACAAATTAAAAATACAAAGAATCAATGAAACAAAATTAGTTCTTTGAAAAAAATTAATAAAATTGACATACCCTCATCCTAATTAACTAAAAGGAAGAGAGAAAAACTAAATTAACAACATTAGAGTTGAAAATGAGAAGCGCAAGTTCCTGGGTTCATTACTCAGCTCTGGGGGAGGGGGGAGAAAAACCCAAACAGACACCAAAAAGCCAGAGAATCATAAGAACATACCTTAAAAACCTGTACTCCACAAAATTGAAAAATCTAAAACAAATATATAATTTTCTCGATACATACCTCTTTCCAAAGTTAAATCAAGATCAGATAAGCAATTAAAAGGGACCTATAACCCCTTATGAAATAGAAGTAGTCATTAAAAGTCTATAAGAAAAACCCAGGGCCACGTACTTTAAAGAAGGGTTAATGCCAATACTCCTCAAACCATTTCACAAAATAGAAAAGAAACATTGCCCAATTTGTTTTCCAAGAAAGAGAATTATAGATTAACCTTCCTTATAAACAAACATACTTGCAAAAATTCTTAATAAAATGCTTGTAAGCTGAATGCAAACACATCAAGTTGAACACATCGAAAAAAAAAATCATCCACCATGATGAAGCAGGCCTCATCCTAGAGATGCTGGGATGATTCAACATTTGAAACAAACTGAAACACACACACACACACACACACACACACACACACACGATCATCTCATTAGATACAGAAAAGGCCTTTAACAAAATCCAACACCCCTTCATGAAAAAGTTCTTGAGAGATTAGGGATTTGAGGGACATACATCAACATCATAAGGTAATTTACAGCAAGCACATAGCCAACATCCACTTGAACAGAGAGAAACTCGAAGCATTTCCCCTAAAGCCAGGAACAAGACAAGGTAGTTCATTGTCTCCATACCTGTTCAATACAGTGCTTGAAGTCTTAGCTAGAGGAAACAGACAACTGAAGGAAACCACAGGGATCCAAATTGGAAAGGAAGACCTCAAAGAATCTTTATTTGCTGATGTCTTCATCAAATCCCTCCCCACAGGGATCAGGGAACCCTGCAGAAGAGGAGGCAGGAAGGCTGTAAGATCAAGCGGACTGAGAACAGCAGGAGAACAGGCCCTCTAATCAACAGGATGGATGCACATGTGAACTCACAGACACTGAGGCAGCAAGTACAGAGCCTGCACAGGCCTGCACCACTTAGAGTCCTAGAGCAGAAAGAAAAAATAGACATGTATCCTATCCTCTCCAACCCTAACCCAGAAGCAATGTGCAATTTAACGCCACTTGCAAATGAAAATTTAGTTTAGTCCAAGGGAGTCTCACTGGTTATATTCCCAGCAGTAGACAGCCAATGGGAAACAAACTCAACACCAACTGTGGATGTTCCTTGTCTCACTGTATGGCCCTGGCTGACCCAGAACTCAGTGCGTAGCCTGTCTCTGCCACCCAGGTGCTGGGATTCAAGGTGTGTGCTACTGCACCAGTCCTAGGTGGTTTCTTCTTTATTGTGACACAGGTTTCCACGGAGCCCTGGCTGTAGCTAAAACACTGGCCTTGAACTTTTGATGTTCCTGCCTCTGTCTCCCATGGGTCATCACTCTTTGGTCAGTCAAATTTCTCTTCATTTCCTATGTCTTCCTATTTTAAAAGATTTGCTTATTTTATTTTCTGTGTATGAATGTTCTGCCTGCACACATTTTTGGGCATCCTGATGTATGTAGTATGAGGGCCTGCTGGTTGGGATTTTTGTCCCGCCCAGTACCCCACAGCCGGCAAGTCCCAAAGAAAATCACACACAGGTCTACATAGGTTATAAACTGATTGGCCCATTAGCTCAGACTTTGTATTAGCTCTTATAACTTATATAGCCCATTATTCTACTATATGTTAGCCACATGGCTCGGTACCTTTTTTAACTAAGCAGGTCACATCCTGCTTCTTCGGTGGTCAGGGCAGGACTGGGACAAAGAGCTTCCTTCTTCCCAGAATTCTCCTGTTCTCCCTGCCCCGCTTCTACTTCCTGTCTGGTTTTCTCGCCTATGCTTCCTATCTGGCCAATCAGTATTTATTTAAAACATGATTGACAGAATACAGACAATTATCCGGCACCATCCTTGTACTTGAGGACACCGGGAAGAAGTGACAGAACTGAAGTTACAGCTGATTATGATCCATCATATGCGTGTGGGAATAGAACAAGGTCCGATGAAAGGCAGCTTAACCGCTGAGTCATCTCTCTTTCTCTCTTCCTTCTGTCTTCTTCCTTTTTGGGGGTGGGGTTGGTGGGGACAAAATTTTACACTGTAGCCGAGGCTGACCTGGAACTCACAGCAATCTTCCTGCCTCAGTCTCCTGAATTCTGGAATAGCAAACATAGGCCACAACTGCCCAGCTTCAAAGGAAACAGAGTTCTGGCTTAGAAACACAGGAAAAGTATCATTGGAGGAGAAACAACAGTGGTAAAAGAGAGGCTCAAACACAGCCTTAGAAAGGTAGAACTCCACAGGACATTGGGCTATTTCTAAATGAGTGAAAAGGAGACGGCATTCTGAGTAGTAAATGAATGCATGTTTCCCATCGTTGAAGGTCTAGACACTTCCAAAACTTAGATGCATTCTATAATTGCATTTCATAGGGTCACTTCAAATACTTTAAAATTTACCACAATGTTTTCCCATCTGTTTATTGATCAAAGCTTCATAATCTATTTGGAAGAATTATTTTATTATTTTGCTCTTTGGCACCATAACTTGACATGAGTCCTTCCAAGCCATTGGATTTTTACCTAAAAATAACTTCAACCTGAAGATAGGCATGTGCCCACGTGATTTCATCTTGGCAAGCTTAGCAAGAGACTGCAGTTCCTACAGCAGGCTCAGCTTTGTGGCTGTGACCAGGTCAATCGCACAGGCTCTGTGAGGAGATGAGCTCTGCTTTATTTATTTTATTTTTATCTATTGTGTGTGTTACAGGAGTCACTTCTCTTCTTCCGCTGCGTAGATTCCTGGGATCCAACACAGGCCATCAGTTTTAGCTGCAAGCTCCTTTCCCCATGGAGCCGCCTTGACAGCTCAAGAAGTCTGTTTATTGAGCTGAATGTTTGCAGTCCCAAGTATCTTAACTTTATCTTTGCATTTGTGTTTTGTAAATAAAATTTTATGGAACAATGGATGTGTGATGGAGGCTTGGAACCTTGGCTCACACATGAGCTCTGCTTCCCAAGATGGGCTCCCAGCTGCTTTTCTCCCATGTTATAGGACCCCAGTTGTTGGTTGTCTGCTTCCCTTTCCCCAGCCCTGGGACCACTTCTGACAATGCTGGCACTGAGATCATGGATAAGCAGAATATGTTCTGTCTAAACCTCTAATGGAGACCAGCCAGGCATATTGTGGAAAGGGTCTGGGTGGAACAGGTGGAGCATTCAGTATTTTGGGCTAGGGAATGATGACAAACATCCATCTCTGCTCTGACTGGGACTACACATTTATTTAGTGGGTATTTTGCAGAGGTTAGCCTCTCATCCATCTATGATTCCAGGTATCAAGTGCTCTCAAGCACTTAAAAGCTTCAGTCTTCAGGGTGGGTAACTATTGGTGCATGCTTTGGGTGCCTTGGGGTAGCCAGTCATGGGAAAAATGGCTAACTTCCTCTTCTTTATAGAGCCAGGTAGCCTTGTCCCATAGCTGGTGAAAATATGAGCTTGGTAAAATGATCAGTGTACAGTTTGCTGAGCCCAGCAGGTAGGGTCCAGGGTTCCTCAGAAGTTTTATTCTGTGAAGCAGCTAAATATGGCCATGGGAAGAAACATGACACTAAGTATGATTGGTCAAGAGAACGAAAATCAGTAGCTTTAAGTACACTCTACATGGTCTCCAAGTCTGGTTTGATTGATTAGTTGATTGGTTGGTTGGTTTGGTTGGTTATTTGTTTGTTGATTGTTTGGCTGTTGTTGACTGTTTGGTTGTTTGGTTGGTTTTGTTGGTTGTTTGGTTGATTGTTTGTTAGCCTGGTTAGTTGGTTATTTGTTTTGTTTGTTTGCCATTTGGTTTGTTTAATTAATTGGTTGGTTATTTGTTGTTTGGCTGCTTGTTTGTTGGCTGACTGGTTGGTTGGCTGGTTGTTTGATGGGTTGTAAGCTGTTTGGTTGGTTTTGGGCTGTTTGGTTGGTTAGTTGTTGATTGGTTGTTTGGTTGTTTTATGGTTGTTTGGTTGTCGACTATTTGGTCGGTTGGATGGCTGGTTTTCCACTCTGGACATCTGGCTTACTTTTATCACTCATTACTGTGATGAAATTCCTGACAAAGTTTAGCATATAGGGTTGCACAGCTCAGGTTTCAAGTCTTCAGCCACAGTGCCTATTGTATCCAGCCCATGCCCATGGTCCCTTTCCCTCTCATCACGCCCAGGTTCATCCTGAACACCAATGCACCCTCTGCCTCAGTGCCAGAGACTCTCTGAGCTCATGCAGCAATTGGCACAGATTGCTTGCAGGACAGCTCTGAACAAAGGAAAGACCACCCCAGCTTCTAGCGTCCCGAGACCACTTATACTCTGCAGCCTGCAAAGCAAAACCTTTCGTTCACAAGCTGCTCTGCGGCCTGCAGGCTGATCACCTGTACATTAGGTAGCACAGAACCTGCCTAGTGGGATGGAAGGACACCATTTTCGCTCGAATGCTGCCCTGGCCTCGCTTACCTGTACCTCGGTGATGAAACCTTGGCGCTCGCCGTAATGTGTGCTCCTTCACCAGTATCGATACCCATCTGATCGGAAGAAATGAATGACTTGCAGTTAAACAAATAAACCTGACAAAGAAAAATAGATAAAGAAAAAGTTAATTTTGGTTCATGGTTGCAGGGTACAGTCTGTCGCCGTGGTAACAGTGGCTGTAGCTGAGGCAGCACGACTGAGGGGCTGTTAACCACACTGCATCCGTACTGGGGAAACAGAGACAGATGAAGGTATCAGGCTTTCTTCTGCGCCACCAATCAGTTCCCAAATTTTGGCACGGAGACTTATTAGTTTTGAATGTTGGACCTTAGTTTAGCTCTTATTTTAATCTTTTTTTTTGATCTGTGTTTTGCCTCAGGGGTTTTCACCTTTTATATCTTACTTTCCTGCTGTCTCTGTGTCTGTCTGTCTGGCAACTACGTGACTTCTGACCTCGGGCATGACTTTCTTCCTTGTTCTCTCCTTCTTCTTCTTTCTTGAGCCTAGATTTCTCCTCCTACTTATTCTCTCTGCCTTCCAACTCTGCCTATCATTTCTCTGCCTAGTTTTTGTCCATTCAACTTTTTACTAGACCAATTAGGTGATTTAGGCAGGCAAGATGAAACAAATGCAACAATCTTTACATAATTAAACAAATGCAGCAAAACAAGTGCAACAGATCTTTACATTGTTACCAAAGGCAGCAGAAGTTCACATGGTTAAAGTAATATTCCACAGCAGAAACAAATGTAACACATTTTTGCCCAGGTAGAATAATTCACAACAGATGAATGCTGGTGTGTGCTGGCTGGTTTTATGTCAACTTGACACAAGCTAAAGTCATCTGAGAAGAGGGAACTTTAATTAAGAAAATGCCTCCACAAAACAGGGCCTTAGGCAATTTCCTTAGTTACTGATTTGGGAGGACCCAGCTCTATTGTGGTTCTCTAAGAAAGTAGACAAAAGAGGTTGAGTCAGCCACACGAGCAAGACAGTTGCAGCATCCCTCCGTGTCCTCTGCAACAGCTCCTATCTCTAGGTTCCTGCCCCGTTTGAATTCCTGTCCTTGCTTCCTTCAGTGATGGAAATGTAAGCCAAATAAACCCTTTCCTCCCTAGGTTGTTACTGGTCAAGGTGTTCTATCAGAGTAATGGTAACTCTAACTAAGACTTGGTACTTAACAGACTTCCTCGTCTCTTTCTCTTTTTATTCAGTCCTGGATTTCAGCCTATGGGATGGTCCTTTTCTTCTAAGTTAAACTTCTCTGGAAACATTATAGATGCCCAATGGTGTGTCTCTTGGATGATTCTATATCCGGTCAAGTTACCATTGTAGAACTCCATTTCAGGGCCTCAAACATGCCAGCCCCTGGGCTACATTCTAGCCTTTTATGTTATTTATTTATTTACTTTTGAGTGTGTATTTATTACATGTGTGTGCATGTTCATGCATGTGAAAATACTAGTGTTTAGAGGTCAGAGCACCCCCTTGGGCTTTCATTCTTTGGACACCATTTTTTTGAGACATAGACTCTTGAAATTCATTAAGTAGGTTAGTCTGTCTGGTCACTGAGCATTTGCCTGTCTTCACCACCCTATCATTGGACTCGGATGTATTTACAACCACACCACATCAGTTTAAATACATTAACTGTATTTAATTAATTAAATAATTCCGAGTTAGTGATTAACTAACGCGCATCTTTGTTGAATTAAAGCAATAAATCAAGCTGAGTTATAGTGACACCCACCTTTAATCCCAGCCCTCAGGAGGCAGAGGCAGGCATATCTCTGAGTTCAAGTCCAGCCTGGGCTACAGAGCAAGTTCCAGAACAATTAGGGCTATAACACAGAGAAACCCTGTCTTAAAAAAAAAAAACAAATAGAAAAGCAAAAAAGAAAGAAAGGAAGGCAGGAAGAAAGAAAGAAAGAAAGAAAGAAAGAAAAGAAAAGAAAAGAAAAGAAAAGGAAAGAAAAGAAAAGAAAAGAAAAGAAAAGAAAAGAAAAAAGCACTTCCCCCTGGAGCAGTTTGACCAAGAGCAAACCTGAATTAGAATTCTCTGTTTCTCTCCCTGTGTCTTCCTTCTCTCTGTAGCTTATGGGTTCAGGTCTAGCTGTAAACAGTCTGTTCTATGAGTCTGAATCTACTTCTCTATTCTTACTGAAGGCTATCTTGTGAATCTATCAGTTTCCCAATCTATGCTGTGTCCCAAGCAAAGGTCACTGCTCTGTATCTATTGAACAGCACAGAAGGCAGCACATTGGGAAGGGACAAGGGACAATACTTCATGGAAATCATTAACAGTTTTTCAAGAGCTTTTGCTGACATTACTGACTCCAACTGACAACCATCTGATTACAGACAAACAAACACCGTCAGGCAACATGCCTATGTTGCTTTCAGTTTTTCTGGATTTTTGTTTTGCCTTTATCTGATTTGCTGTTCTCAGCTTTATTATCATAACATCCATCCATCCACACACACACTACTCATGGGCCAGGCATATGGAAGAGTACACGATTTAAGATTAAAACTATGTCTTAGCTTAGGTTGTAAAAGCTGATTACCAGGGCAAAATCAAGGCAAGTCAGGTTAGTTGTTACATTGTTCTGTTCTCTCAAAGGCAGGCTAAACAAACAGGCTGTGTACACAGCAGGATAACAGTCTTAAGCTTAGGTGATCTCGAGTGTATTATTACGCCTGGCTGTGAGGTCCAGCAAAAGTTCCACTCTCTTAGAATGTAAGAGAGATTCCCATAACAGCGTATTGCCATACCACTCCTGGTTCTGTTCTTTTCTTTTCAATTGATGTTCTGTGGATCAGATTCAGGTCCTCAAGCTTGAAGGCGAACACTTCCCAATTCTTAAGTATCATTTGGAAACAGACTCACTAAGTTGTCCAAGATGACCTCAAGTTTGTGAGCCCCATGTCAGTCTCCCCAATTAATGAGCACAATACTCAGCTCCCCATTACTCCCCTCCCCCCTTTTATTTTATCTTTAGATTTTGCTATGTAGCCCTGGCTGGCCTGGAGCTCTCTTTGTTGACCAGGCTGGCCTTGAACTCAGAGATTGGCCAGCCTGTACCACCAGAGTGCTGGGATTAACAACATGGACCTCCACACCTGGCTCTTGCCTGCTTTTGAAGCAAGGTGCCCTTATCTTCATTTCTCAGTGGGCCCTGCAAATTATGTAGCTGGTTCTGTCTGTAGGCATTCTATTTTTTTTTTATTTAGGTAATAAACTGCATCGTCATAAACAGCGAGAGGCGGAGGCCCTCCAATAGTGAGATAAGCCAATTTTTACAACACATAGTATTTATTATTAATTACATTTGATGGGTTTAGAAAAGGAGAAACATTTTTCCCCATACCCAGAAGACCTACTGTGCCACTAAATTCACTTTATTATATATGGTTTTAAATTATTAAGCAGGGAAGAAAATTTAGTGGTTGTCAGTAAAATTCCATTTTGCACTGCAACGACCTCTTCTCCAAGCATCTTGGTATCACAGGATGATGATAAAATGTTGCTTATGTATAGACGCCATAGTACATAGGATAATTTATTTTCAGCTTAGAGGCAGTCAAGTCTTCTAAGACTAAAGTAAGCATTAAAATAATTGAATCTTTGAAGTACATATTTCTTGTTGATATGATTACTGTCTCCTGTGTTAAGAAAGTGATATAGCTTGGAAGGAAGATCCCAAGATTGCAAGTTAACTCTCAATTTTCTCTTCGTAACATGAAGACCTTTAACTAACTAAAAATTTCCTGAGGTTTCTTCTAACCCTGGAGTTCAGTGATATTTGACTGGCAGGCACTCCCATGGGCACACATTCTTGATTGTACACACGCATTCTCTGTCTCCCCCATACTGTCCCTGAGCTACAAGCTGTGCATCTTGGAATATGTTTGATGAAAGAAAGAGAAACATAATAAATTTGCTCAAGTTAAAAAAAAAACTCCAACCTTTTTCCTTTGAGAAATTGTGTTATATAGAACAAGAGTATAAAACACACATGAATTAATACTAAAAATAACTGTAAGATAACCAGGCTAAGACTCTGACATCACTAATACTACTTACTTATTCCTCAGAAGGCCCAGCTTTTGTCTGCTTTTGAAAATGTCCTTCTCCTGATTCCCCAGGGGTGACTATTTCTGTGTTCCCATTGTCCCCACATCAAGTATTAAACCTAAGGCCCTGCTACTTAAAATTGTGGGCATTCTGGGTAGTATGGCCGTAGACACTAAGGATGTTTGAACAGAAACATAGGGATTCACATTATTTTATATTTACCTAAAATTACACACTCGTTAAACGAAGTTATGCTACTGAGAGAGCTAATATTACCCCGAAGAGCCCTAGGTTATCTAACAAAAACCCCAGTAGGAGTTCCTCCTTTAGAATTGTTGGTCAGGGAAGTTCCAGAGACTCCCAAAATAGCACAGACTATTTATCTCCCAGAAGTCGAAGGTAGGTCCCTACTGCTGAAGACATCATTACATTTGAACATGGGTCTCAGAGTTCGTCTGCCCTAAGGACGAACTGCCACAGTACTAGAAAGCGTTATTCAGGCTGACCAGGGAGAAAACAGTCAATAGTCCTACCCAACTGTGGTACCTATGAACCACAACCATGGCTAACAGGCAAGGTATCCCTAAAGGGACAGTAGCAGCACCATTTTTGGTGGCAACTAAGAGCTGTCTAACTAAACTGAAGGCTTGAACAATAGGAAGGAAGTCATGGAAGCCCTGTCCAACGCCTGCAGCTGGTGAGGTCATAGATCTTATAAAAGAACCCTTAGCTGCATTTTTCTAAACCAGCACAGTTCCTAACTGCATTAAATATTCATCTTTATAACCACAGATAAGTGTATCTCTCACCTATTGTCATCAAAGAAGTTTATTTTTCAGCAGAGACCACTACACAAAGTCACAACTGGTCAAAATGCAGAAAACTGATCATGGAGTTTCCAGCCCCACTTGTTCCACATACAGTTCTAAGGCTCAGGGAACATCAAGGAAGAGGGGGAGAAAGACAGACTGTAAGACCCAGAGGACCAGGAAGTCTGCTGCAGGTGTGTCTCCTAGATATGGCAGGGAAGCTCTGACCATGAAATCTATAAAATTGTAAAATACGGCTGCTGAAACAAGGCCTGAACAATGGCAGTACCCACTGGCTTGCCAGTGTGGATGGATGGCTTAGTCAGAACTTCTGTTGCTGTGATGGAAACTCCGGGACTCAGAGCAACTCATCGGGGAGAGGGTTTACTCTGCTTACATTTCCACATCATAGTCCATCTTTGAAAGGAGTCAGGGCAGGAGCCCAGAAGCAGAAGCTGATGCAAAGGCCGTGGAGGAATGCTGCTTACTGACTTGCTCCTTGTGGTTTGCTCCGCCTGCTTGTCTCTACAGCACCAGAACCACCAGCCCAGGGACAGCAGTGCCCACACTGCTCTAGGTCCTTCCACACTATCAACCAAGAAAATGTGTCACAGTTTTGTGTATAGGCCAGTCTGATAGGGACATTTTCTCAACTTAGGCCCCTCTTCCAAAATGACTCTAGTTTGTATCAAGTTGATTAAAAAAAAAACAAACTAGCCAGCACAGGAGGGGAATCTCAACCACCTCTAGATGAAGAACTACAGGCAATTATTGATTGCTGAGGAAGGAGAATTAGTCTTCCCTTGGAAGAACTCCCTAACTGATTATTCAATACCATCATCAGCCCTAAACACACACACACACACACACACACACACACACACACACACACACCACTAAATGAACTCAGCAAGTTGTATTTATATATTTATTTGTGTGTGTGTGTGTGTATGTGTGTAACAATAATTTTAAAGAAAAAGAGACCATCAATTGAGAGAGAATGAGGGGAGACCACAGGAGGAGTTGGAAGGAGGAGAGAAAAGGGCAAAATGATATAATTATATTTTAATTAATAATAAAATAAAATTTAAAAGATGTGAACAAGGCACTGAATCTAATTCTTTTCCTTCCATTTCCTTTCTTTGTTTTCTTGAGACTGAGGTCTTGCTCTATAGTCTAGGTTGATCTCATCAAACTCACAATTACCTTAGAGTACTGAAATTGTAAGCATTTACCACTATGCCCAGTGGGGCTTAATCTCTCTCTCTCTCTCTCTCTCTCTCTCTCTCTCTCTCTCTCTCTGTGTGTGTGTGTGTGTGTATGTGTCTCTGTGTGTGCATGTGTTGTATGTAGATCTGTCTGCAAGTATGTATGTACATGTGGTATATGTATGTGTACCTGTGTATGAAGGGGGACATGTATGCGTGTGTGCAAGTCAAGGGGAAATGGACGATGACCTGTTCTATCTTATCCCTGTGAGACAGGGTCACTTACTGAGCCTAGAGTTCAGTTTTTGTTTTTTGGCTACACTGGTAGACCAGCAAACCCTAGTGATCCTCCTCGCTCAGCCCCCACAAGGTCATTAGGGTTATGGGTACACACAACCACACCTGGATTTTATGTGGGTGCTTATTCTAGTTAGGGTTATTAGTGCTGTTATGAAAGACCATGACTAAAAGCAGCTTGGGAAACAAAGGGTTTATTTGGCTTACAGATCCACATCATAGTCCATCCCTGAAGGAAGCCAGGAAAGTAACTCAAGCAGGACAGGAAGCTGGAGGCAGAGACCATGGAAGGGTGGTGCTTACTGGCTTGTACACCAAGGCCTTTTCAGCATGCTTTTGTGTGTAGAATCAATACTATCAGTTCAGGAATGACACCACCCGCAATGGGCTGGACCCTCTCCCATTAATCACGTATTAATAAAATGTCCTACAGGCTTGTGTAACATGAAAGTCGGCTTGTTGCCTAGCCTCTTATTGGATAACTCTTACATATTGATTTAACCCATTTCTAATAATCTGTATATCACCACGAGGTCACGGCTTACCAGGAGAAATTCAGCATGTCTGGCGTGACAGCTTCATGGCGGTGACTCTCTGCCTCTGCCTTCCTTCTCCCACAATTCTGTTCTGTCTTCCCCGCTTACCTATGTTCTGACCTATCAGGCCAAGCAGTTTTCTTTATTAATTAACCAATGAAAGCAAGAGAAATACAGAAGACCCACCTACATCATTTCCCCTTTTTCTGTTTAAACAAAAAAGAAAGGCTTTCATTTTAACATAGTAAAA